GGCGGGGCTGCCGCTGTGCGCCGCCGTGGCGGAGGACCGGGGCGCCGACCCTGTGGAGGGCACCGTTCGAGCAGGGGATCGACTACCGAGTTGCCTTGCCCTCAGGGCGGGCGTGTCCCTCTACAGGGAGAGTATTCGAGAAGAGTCCAAAGATCGTCTGGGACAGATTTTTCGATTCGTCTTGACTGCCTTTGAGCATTTGTTGGTGATTTTATATTTTTCCTTCAAAATCCGCCTGTCGGAGGAAGGACATGCCAGACCTAAGCTTACACCATCATTAAAGTTGCCCACGGATCCAAAACACAAACACGTTGAATGGGTGTAGGTCTACGAACATCTGGCGTATTTTTGGTAGATTCGACGAACAACCCAATTTTGGGGTAAATCCATTCTGTAGTCGGCCTCCTACTCGAACCGTTCGGCTGCACGTGAGGGTCGCTTTTCGCCGGGGTGACTTGTTTGGTGCGGGCCCACCTGGGGTCCCCGCCATAATCAGCTCGCGCGCTTCGACTCGGCCCCCCACGGTCACTCACAGCCGCGCACCAAAAGGGTCACTCTTGCCCGGGGGCCGCTCCTGTGTGCAGCCCACCCGTGAGATCTGGGCGCTGCATTTGTGACACGGGGCTTTTTTTGCCCGGCCTCGGGCCCCAGGGCTATCACACATCGATCTGGCTTCCACGCGCAGGAGCGACCGTTCACTGCAGAGTGACCTTTGGGTGCGGGCCCGCAGGGGTGGCCCCACCACCGGCCTGCGCGCTTGCCCAGGGCCCTTCTTGCGTGCAAGCATTACATCGGGCATGTCCCCTCTACAGGAGGAGTATTCAAAAGTAGTCAACAAATAATATAGGGGACGATTTTTTGGAGTATTTTTGAATATTTTCAGGGGTTCTACAGGATGAATATGGTTAGGTGAGGTTCGTCGCCGATTTCGGTGGCCGGCCCGGGTGCCCGGGTGCCTGGGTGCCCGGGTGCCCGGGTGTCCGGGGGTGCCTGGGTGCCCGGGCGCCCGAGTGCCCGGGGTTGCCCGGAGGTGCCTGGGGTTGCCCAGAGGTGCCTGGGGGTGCCCAGAGGTTCCGGGGGGTGCCCGGAGGTGCCGGGGGGTGCCGGGAGGTGCCCGGGGCTGCCCGGAGGTGCCCTGGTGCCCGGGTGCCCGGGTGCTCTATCGCTCTATAGCCCTATAGCCTATAGCCCTCATAGCCTTATGGCCCTATAGCCCTATGGCCCTGTAGCCCTATAGCCGTATAGCCCTGTAACCGTATAGCCTTACAGCCCTGTAACCCTATAGCCCTATAGCCCTATAGCCCTATAGCCCTATAGCCCTATAGCCCGATAGCCTAAAAGGCCCATAGACCCATAACCGTATAGCCCTAAAAAGATGAGGATTGGATTTTTCTCCGGTACCATTGGATTTTTTTTTGACATTTCTGGTCTTCTCTCAGAACCTGCCAGAGCTGCCACCGAAGGATCGGGTCCTGGCTCCTGTCGTGGTCTTGAGTGATGTCGACTTTCCTTACAGCCTTAAGCTCGGGGTGGGCTGCTGGCGGGCGAGGGTCACGAGCAACGAAGGCGTCCGTGTCCAGGCTCTCGCGGTGCGGACGCCATGGGGCGCGGTCTCGTGGACGCGCGATCCCGTGGCTGCGTTCCGCGCGGGCCACCCGCGGTCGCGGCCGCCCTGCGTCCGCGCGGGTCGCGGCGCCGAGGAGTCCGCACCGCGAGGCCGCAGATACGGTGACGTGTTTCTCCCGCCTGCGGTGCAGCCCAGTGCCAGCCGTGTCCTCGTGCTCGGCTTCCTCCCGGCAGTCCTCCCGGTCCTCCTCGCTTTCCCCTTCGTCCTCCTCGTTGTCCTTTTCCTCGTCCTCTTTCTTCATCCGCCTCGTTGTCGTCCTCCTCAGCCTGCTTTGCTTCTTCGTCTCACGAGCCGTGCTGGACAAGCGCGGTGCTCTCCGCTCTGGTCCAGTCAGGTTTCGCACGGAGCAGTCTGGAAGGTCACGGGATTGCTTGTTTGTGTTCCCCCTTTTCCCCTCCCTCCTGCATGGTGGCACAATTCGCTTCAACGGTATCCCCGCTTAGGCCACTCCGCTGGCGCAGACGACCCCTGCCTCACCACCGACGCAAAAAATGTCTGTGTGCTTCCCCCCGATGTTCGCCCGTAGCCTTTCCACGGCGGCTTCGAGGCTGTGCAAGCCCATGTTTTTTTTGTGGTCAGTAAAGCCTGCGGGCCTCGCTGGAACTAGAGACACGCAGCTGCGACTAGGGTTAAGGCGGGCGTGTCCCTCTGCAGGAGAAATATTCAAAAGCAGTGAACAATGAGTCTGGGGGCGACCTTTTGATTTTTTTTTTTTTGAGATCTTTTTGTTTGGTTTTTTTTGGGGGGGGGGGGTGGGGGGTATTTTTGGTTGTTCGTCCCAAAAACCGCCTGCAGGGGGACATGCCCGACCTAAGACTGGGGGGAGATGGGGGGCGGCCGCGGAGGGGGAGCGCGCGAGCAGGCAGCCTCAGCACCCGAGGCCAGTGCAGGAAAGGCTGCGCCCGTCGGCACGCAGAGGGGCTCTCAAAGGCCCCCGAACGTCAGAGATCATGATGCCCTGTTGAGGCTTGAAGGGCCGCAGCCTCAAGTTTTGGACTCTGAGGACTGCCCGGCCCCAGCCTCCGCTGACGGCTACACCTGGAATGCCTCGGACGGGTGGACCTGTGCAGAAGGCTTCATAGGGCTGGCCGAGCACAGCTGCACACTGGAGGGGGAGTCTAACGGGTCCTGCCTGCTGGAGAGCCACCTCTCCGGCTGCGTTCCTCTGCAGCCCTGCCTGGTGGTGGAGACGGCCGACCTGAACCATTGCCAGTACAACGCGTCCGGCTGTGCAGGGGGCGGCGGCTTGCTGGCACCGGGCAGTTCGTGCGAGCTGAGCTGCGCGCCTCCGTACGTGGGGAGCCCCACCGTGGTGTCGTGCCCTGCAGAGAACCTCCAGGCCTTGGGACGGTCCAAAGTTTAGGTGCGCCGTTGGGGGATCTGAAACTTGCGGACGGTTTCTGTCTGAGCCGGGGCGATGTTTCTCACCCGGGTTCGGCTCTCGGCGGCTCCGCGGGCCTTGCCACGTTTGAGAACAAGGTTCGATTAGAGAGTTTCGGGGGGCAAACTCCACCTCAATTGTGAGCTGCAGACCGACCCCGCCCACGTTGTGTCCAGGAGGTGTGCCATCTGTCGGTCGTCCAGGAGGGTCCAGTGGTGTCCCAAGGCCAGGGATTTATTGGGGAACGAAGGCAGCAGAAGCGCTTCCCCTCCATTTGCGTGCGTAACCCCTCCATGGCCTCGGGATGCCCTGGGCTGCCCTCCTGCTTCTTTCGTGCACCAGCAGGTCGACCTTCCGCTGCTGCCTGCTATGCCCAACTGCACGCTGCGGTGTGCCGAGGGACCTCGGAGGCGGCAAAAGGTCCACACAGTTTGCCAGCACCCAGAACATGCCGTCTGACCAAATCCAACCTTTTGCTTCCAACCCCCAGAATGTGCCTGTTATCGGTTTTGCCGCAATCCGAGCTAAAAATCCGAGGTTTGTTTCCTTTCTATATTAGGTTTAAGAGAAATCGTTTCGCACATGGTGAGTGCATCGGCTAAGTGGTCTGCTCTGCAAGTGCCGTGCCACGGCGGCTTTTTGCCTTACAAATGCGTTCGATCTGGCCCACGTCCGCCCCAATTATGGTTATGCATGGGCTACAGAAGTCAATAGTTTTGTTGGCCAGTTCAGGTGAGTTTTTCTGAATCGGAACATCTCTCGGATTCTTGGGAAGGTTGGTTCGGGTTCAGGCTGATAGTCAAAAAGGATTTGAAACACGTGCGTACAGGGCAGCGCAGCAGCTCGTCCGATTTCAAAGTCGTTGTTCAAGATGCACGTAGTTCTCGTTGATTGGAGGCTGGGGAGCGAAGCCTCCTGCTTTTGGCAGAGAACCTGCACTGAGTGCTGGATCTGGCTAGTTCGAGGAGGGGAAAGCGCTTAAGATCGTCGGCTCGTTCGTTTCTTGAGCCCCTGTTGGGGCCATCATTGTATCTTCTTGGCGATCTGTGTGTCCCGCTTGTCGGCCCGCGATGCCCCCTTCTCACGCTCCTCGAATCCTCCGAGCCCAACCCCGAGACCTCCAACGTCTCGAGCAACGGAGGGCGGAGGTTCTCCGCCGATCTCGGGGCGTCTGGGGGCCCTCGCCAGGCCGCAGGGCCGTCAGAAAATCACTCAGGATGAAAATCTGGCCCCCTCCTGGCTCCCCTCCTCCCTCCTCCCCTCCTCCTCCTCTCCTCCTCCTCCTCCTCCTCCTCCTCTCCTCCTCCCCTCCTCCCCTCTCTCTCCTCCTCCTCCCCTCCTCCTCCTCCTCCTCCTCCTCCTCCTCTCCTCCTCCTCCTCCTCCTCCTCCTCCTCCTCCTCCTCCTCCTCCCCTCCTCCTCCTCCTCTCCTCCTCCTCCTCCTCCTCCTCCTCCTCCTCCTCCTCCTTCCTCCTCCTCCTCCTCCTCCTCCTCCTCCTCCTCCTCCTCCTCCCTCCCCCTCCTCCTCCTCCCTCCTCCTCCCCTCCTCCTCCTCCTCCTCCTCCTCCTCCTCCTCCTCTTCGCGACCCCCCTGCTGGTACCAATTCATTTCGCTCCAATCTGACGGATCGCACGCTGCGCGCGCTTTTATGTCATTCGGCGCTCCTGGCCGGAACTCTCGCTGCAGAGGTGGCGCCAGAACGGACTCCCTCTGATTCTCTTGTTCTCCCAGCGGTGAGTGGCCAGAGGTGCACGAGCCGCGCGTGCTTTGCAGAAAGTGCACAGTAACGGGGAACGGCCCCTACTGCTTTCCGCCTGGAGCGAGCAGCGCGGATTGTTTTGATTGCCTGAAGGCGCGGCCTCCAGCCGCGCCTCAGGGGCCATGAGGGTTCAATCTGGTTCGGGCACCGCTATCTTGAAGCCCCCCGCCGAGCTCTGGCTGCCAGCAGTGGTCTCCGCCTGCCCGGAGGCCACTGCTTGCCTCCGGCGAGGTGCGGCACGCTCCTCGGCTCGCAGCTCCAAGGCCATGGCGGATCCGTGCGTGAGCCGTCCGACTCGAACCACATTGGCGATGCCGTGGTCGGCGTTGTGGAGGTGCACGCGCCGCTCTCGGCCCGATCTGTGGCCCCGCAGGGGCCCCAGACCCCCGTACTCCCTGCTCTCGCCTCTTCGAGCAGCGCCGACGCTGAGAGCTCTGGACCGCGCAAAAAGATCCACTGCCTTGGAGTCGTGCCCCCAGGGCCCCGAGGATTGGCGGACGTGGATATCCGCCCGCCTCCCCTGGCGGGGAGATGTCCACATCCACCCTCCCCCGGGGCCCCAGGCGGGACTCCAGGAGCTGATGCGGATGCTTGTCAGGGCAGTTGGTTGCTCCTGCTGCCTCTCAGGACCTCCGCCGCCAGGCTTCCGGCGGGCTGGCAGCGGCCTGGAAGATGCTGGCGAAACGAACGGCACCAACGGTACTGGCGGGGCCGATGGGACCAACGCGACCCACTGGACCAACGATACTGTCGGGGCCGACGGGGCCGATGAGGCCAACATGACAAACGGTACTGGCGGGGCCGACGGGGCCAACGGGACCAATAGTACCAACGGTTCTGGCGGGGCCGACGGGGTCAACGGGACCAATAGTACCAACGGTTCTGGCGGGGCCGACGGGGCTAACGGGACCAACGCGACCAACGGTACTGGCGGGGTCGACGGTAGCAACGAGACCAACAGGACCAACAGTACTAGGGCCATGGAGAACAACGATACCTGGGCGGCAGAGGAGGTCGAAGACAGGAACGAGACCAGCGGGGCCAACGACACCGACGAGAGGAACGAAGCCAATACGGCCGACGATGTCGACGAGACGGAGTGGGAGTGTGCCGATGGCTTTGCTGGCACCGCAGTCGTGACCTGCAACATTTCCGAGGACTACTGCCTCCCAGAGTTCCCAGAGCTGCTCTTCGATGGCTGCCAGCCGGTATTGCCGTGCGGCCCGCCAGCACCGGAGGGCGGCTGCGGGCTCGTCGCGTCGGACTGCGATGGCGGCGTGCCCGCGGGCGGCAGCTGCAAGGTCTGGTGCGCAGAAGGCTACGTCAGCAACACCAGCCAGGATGGCATGGCCCTGGCGTCGTGCCCCGCAGACAACGTGGATCCTGAGCGGCTGGCGCGGCACGAGCCGCTCGGGTGCACCCTCCGCTACTGCCCCAATCTCACGCGCGTGCCCGCCGAGTTCGTGAGGGCGCCGGATGGCGGCTGGGCGTGTGCCGAGGGCTTCTTCGGCAACGTGACCGCGGACTTGGGGGGGGGCCACAGCGGGGAGAGCTGGCTCGCCCGCCCACCTCGAGAGAGACGGGAGAGGGGGAGGGGCTTGGAGGGGCTCCCGAGATCCGACGTCGCGAAGAAGTGGTGGAGGAGGAGGAGGAGGAGAAGGAGGAGGGGCTTGGAGGGGCCCCTCGAGATCCGGCGTCGCGAAAAGGGTGCAGCGCCGTGGGAAGTCACTGCCGCAGCCCCCGACCCCGTGTCGTCTTGCCGTGCCCATGTCGGGCCGGATCGTCTGCCGCGGTGGGTCCCAGGGCCCGAGGCCGGGCGAGAGCGCTCGGGGCTTGAGAGTCGCCGGCGAGCGGAGGGGGGGAGTGCGAAGGAGAGGGCCCTCGCAGAAGGCTCGGAAGTCCCCGGGCCTTCCGAGAAGTTCTCCATAAGCCTTCCCCGAAGACAGCACAAAGCCTCTCAGAGGGCGCGAGGGCTTTGCCGAGAAGTCCCGCGCCGCCTTCTGAGGAGGCCTCCTCCCTCTCCACTTCCCCCCCCGTGGCTCGCCGCCGAGAGAAGGGTTGCAGGGCCTGGATCTGAGGGCAGGGCACGCTGGGGGACCTCTTCTGCCCCTCTCTCTCCCGTCCAGGAGTGCGTGGCCGGGGCCGAGTGCAGCGCGACCCTGGTGCTGGGCGGTCGGGGTTGCTCGAAGATGGGTCCCTCTGAGGGTAGTGTTACAGCGGGCACGTCCCTCTACAGGAGTAGTACTCAAATCTAGTCAAACACATAGTAAGGGGACGATGGTCCTTCTATTTGTTGACTGTTTTTGCACACATTTTTTGGGCTATTCTTGTTCTCTTCGAAAACCCACCTGTAAGAGGACATGCCCGACCTGAGGGCAGTGGGGCCCTACGGATAGGAAAGGGCTTCCAGCTTGAGTTGACATGGTTCAAGACCTCCTCGCCGTAGGGACGGGCGATGCGCAAAATCCTGCACCACCCGCGCGACCAGGGTGCCAGCGCAAGCCTGACCGCGCCCCCCTGCCCCCGATTCAATGTTGGTTGGCATCGCCAGCGCGGCGCAGGCTTTCGGCGAGTCGACAGATCGGCACATTGCTACGCGGCCCGCCCATATTAAGTTTGGGGGCGCGGGCGGTGTTCACAATTACTCCAGCGAAGCATCCTAATAGCAGCAGGCGTAAAGAGGCGAGTCGAGGAGTAGGAGGTCGGCGAGTGAGAATGTGCCCTCCTGGGTATTCCCATGGGTTTTGTAGGCGCGCCAGGGGGAGTGCGCGGCTATGTGCACCGTAGCTTTTGCTCACAAGGGGCCGTGGCCGTGTGACCCGGGTGAGAGCACGCCCATGTGAACCGCGGTGCTTTTTTGACACGGGGTCGTGGCCGTCCGGACCAGTGTGTTCCAGCCCAGCAGCCCAGCAGCAGCAAAGGTGAAGAGGCGGGTCGAGGAGTCGGCGGTCGTCGGCCGGTGAACACGGGCCGGGGCATGGGTTGGGAGCACGGCCGTGTGCACCACTGCATGTTTTGCACAAGGGGCCGTGGCCGTCCGGAGCAGAAGGGTAGCCAGCATGGAGGCGGCAGCACGGTTCCAGAGTAGATCGTGAGGGTTATGGATGCGAAGCGGCCGTCCAGGCACGGCGTCCAGGGGCTTACTGTCCCCCCCCGTGGGTCTTTTGTCCTGTGCCTCCACGAGAGCCCTTTGTGGTGAAACGCTGTTCTTGGATGTAGCTAGCTAGCAGTGATGCCAGAGCGCGATCCCTCAATACGTTGTGAGGAAGTCTCGGGCGAAACGGTGTCTGTGGTCCTCAGCTAGCGAAACGGCTTTGGAGGTCTCAAATTGTGAGGACGTCTCAGGCGAAACGGTGTCTGCGGGCTAGACTTTGAGGAAGTCTCAAGCGAAATGGCCTCGGCAGTAAACTGGTCGCAACTTCAAACGAAAATCCATAAGTTATGAGGCAGGCTCAAGAGAAACGGCCTCGGTGGTCTCACACTGCGAGGGCGTCTCAGGTGAAACGGCTTCTATGGTCATCACGGAGTGACACGGCAGTCCACGTCCTGGGGCTCGCGGTCCCCCCTGTGAATCCTCAGGGGGCCCTTTTTTACCTTCGCTCGAACCTTTGAGTCGTGAAGCGCTAGTGGGGAAGATCAACATGGCGTAGGATTTTGTCCACCAGTCTGCCGCTGAAGAGCGTCTGAAAGGGGGAGTAGGCAGGAGCGAGAGGCAGGAGGGAGGGAGTCCTACTCATCCAACCCCTCCTCCTTCTCCTCCTCCGCCTCCTCCTCCTCCTCCTTCTCCTCTCCTCCTCTCCCTTCCTCTCCCCTCTTCTCCCCTCCGCTCCCCTCTTCTCCCCTCTCCCCCTGCCTCACTGCCCCAAGCTTGAAAAGCCCCAGGCGGGTGCTCGCCTGTGCTTCCCTGCGCCGCCGCGGCCGTGGACGAGTGCCTCGTCGACGCCTCGAACTGCTCCTCGGTGCCGTCGGGCGGCTCCTGCGAGCTCCGATGTGCGGCGCCCCAGGTTGCAGGCGAGTCCCCGGGGGTCGGAAGCCGCACCCGTCGCCGCCGAGAGGAAGTCGGGCATGTCCCTCTACAGGAGGAAGCTTCAACTATAGTCGAAACAGATAGTATGGAGGCGATTTCCAGACTATGTTGTTCCAACATGTTTTTGAGAACCAATCGGTCGTTGACAGTCGGTATTTTTCGAGTCCCATATTCCAATCTACTTCAGTGATAGTGGCTTCACCTTTTCCGTGATAGTGATAGTGATAGGGGCGGGCGGACACCCAATCTACTTTCAACGCCTTCCTACTTCATGTTTCACCCTACTTCTTCCGACCGAAGGGTATCATTAAATCGCTTCGCTCATTCCGCCGGCCCATATTGCCTCGCCGCTGTCGTTTGTCGGGGTGTTGTTGTCAATGCGGTGCGGTTGGGCGGCTGCCATTTTTCGGAGGCGGTGGGTGGCGGGTCAGAGGCCTCACGGATGTTGGTTGGGCTCTCGTGATTGACCTCTCAGGAGCCTTTGGGAGGCAGTTTTGAGGCCTCTTGGCGGTCGTGTTGGGGCCTGTTGGGGCCTCTTGGGGGCCTTTTGTAGATTCTTGGGGTGCCTCTTGGAGGCCCCTTGGGCCCTTGGGGCCTCTTGGGGGCCTCTTGGGGCCTCCTGGGGGCCTCTTGGGGCTGAAGGCTGGACTTTTCGGTTCCTGGTCTCCTTTTTGGGCCCCTCTTGGGGCTGTTTTGTGGCTCTCTTGGGCTGTCTTGGGCGCCTCTTGGGCTGTCTTGGGGCCATCTTGGGCCGTCTTGGGGCCCTCTTGGAGGCTTCGTGGGCCGCCTTGGGGCGGTCTTGGAAGCCTCTTGGGCCGTCTTGGACGGCCGGTAAGCCGAAAAGGCGAGAACGCCAAAAACCGTCAGAAACTCCAGGAAAGTCACCAATTTCTGCCTCTATGGGCCCTCTTGGGAGGTCTCTTGGAGGCCTCTTGGGGCGTCTTGAAGGCGCTGTGGGCTGTTCCCACTGGGGGCTTCGGTGGAGCTCCCCATGGGGCCACGAAGCGCTGTACGGGGTGCGTGAACATGCCAAATTGGGTATGGGGGACGCATGCGGGCGGTCCCACTGGGGGCTTCGGTGGAGCTCCCTATGGGGCCACAAGGCGCTGTACTGGGTGGGTGAAAATGCCAACTTGGGTGTGGGGGGCGCATGCGGGTGGTCCCACTGGGGGCTTCGGTGGAGCTCCCTATGGGGCCACAAGGCGC